TTTCGCCACTTCTATTTAACAGTTCTTGAAACACTGGCCAGAGCAATTAGACAGATGAAAGAAATTAAAGGGATACACATAGGAAAAGAAGAACTCAAATTGGCACTATTTGCTGATGATATGATTCTGTACCTTGAAGACTCAAAAAATTCCACCAGAAAACTTCTAGAACTAGTAAATGAATTCAGTAAAGTAGCAGGATATAAAATCAACACCCATAAATCAAAGGCATTTCTGTGTGTAAGTGACAAACCCTCTGAGAGGGAAAAGAGGAAAACTACCCATTTACAATAGCCTCAAAAAAATAAATAAAATATTTGGGAATCAACTTAATGAAAGAGGTGAAAGACCTCTACAATGAAAACTACAGAACCCTAAAGAAAGAAATTAAAGAAGATCTTAAAGATAGAAACATCTATCTTGTTTTTGGATAGGCAGAATCAATTTTGTCAAAATGACCATATTACCAAAAAATCTACACAGATTTAATGTAATTCCAATGAAAATCCCAATTATATTCCTCATAGAAATAGAAAAAGCAATCATGAAATTCATCTGGAAAAATAAGAGACTCAGAATAGTCAAAGAAATCCTTATCAAGAGTGAAGTAGGTGGCATCACTATACCAGACCTTAGACTATAGTACAGAGCAATAGTAACAAAAACAGCATGATGTTGGCACCAAAATAGATCTATAGACCAATGGTACAGAATAGAGGACACAGAGACTAACCCACAAAATTACATTTATCTTATATTAGACAAAGGCGCCAAAAATGTACATTGGAGAAAAGATAGCCTCTTCAACCAATGGTGCTGGGAAAACTGGAAATACATATGCAACAAAATGAAATTAAACCCCTATCTCTCACCATGCACAAAACTCAACTCAAAATGGATCAAGGACTTAGGAATAAAACCAGAAAATAATGGCCCTAATCTCCATCATGTGAGATTAGGCCCCAACTTCCTTAATAAGACTCCTATAGCGCAAGAACTAATATCAAGAATCAATAAATGGGATGGATTTAAACTAAAAAACTTCTTCTCAGCAAAAGAAAAATAAAACATCATCAGTGAGATGAATAGAGAGCTCCAATTTGGGAACAAATTTTTACCACATGCACATCAGACCACTAATCTTTAAGGTATATAAAGTACTCAAAAGTCTTAACACTAAAAAAATAAATAACCCAGTCAATAAATAGCCCAGGGAACTCAACAGGCACTTCTCAGAAGATATACAATCAATCAACAAATACATGAAAATACATATTCAACATTTCTAGCAATTAGAGAAATGCAAATCAAAACTACTCTAAGATATCATCTCACTACAGTCAGAATAGCAGCTATTATGAAGACAAACAACAATAAGTGTTGGCGAGCATGTGGATGAAAAGGCACATTCATACATTGTTGGTGGGACTGCAAATTGGTACAGCCAATATGGAAAGCAGTATGGAGATTCCTTGGAAAATTGGGAATGGAACCATTATTTGACCCAGCTATCCCTCTCCTCGGTCTCTACACAAAGGACTTAAAAAGAGCATACCAAAGGGACACAGCCACATCAATGCTTAAAGCAGCACAATTCACAATAGCTAAGCTGTGGAACCAACCTAGATGCCCTTCAGTAGATGAATGGATTAAAAAATGTGGATATATTCACAATGGAATATTACTCAGCAATAAAAGAGAATAAGATCATGGCATTTGCAGGTAAATGCAATGGAGAAGATAATGCTAAGTGAAGTTAGCCAATCCCCCAAAAACAAATGCTGAATGTTTTCTCTGATTTAAGAATGCTGATTCATAATGTGGTTGGTATGGGGGTAGGACATGGGTGGATTAGATGAACTCTAGATAGGACAAAGGAGAGGAAGGGGTAGGGAAGGGGCAGGAAGGTCAGTGAAATGAGATGGACATCAATACCCTAAATATATTGTATGAAGACAAGAATCATGTGACTCTACTTTGTGTACAACCAGAGATATGAAAAATTGTGCCCTATATGTGTAATATGAATTATAATGCATTCTGCTGTCATATGTAACAAATTAAAATTTTAAAAAATATTAATTTGAAAAAAAAATCATGAGGGACTGGGGTTGTAGCTCAGTGATAGAGCGCTTGCCTAGCATGTGTGAAGCCCTGGGTTTGATCCTTTGCACCACATAAAAATAAATAAACAAAATAAAGGTATAAAAAAATCATAGGGCTGGGGCTGTAGCTCAGTGGCAGAGCACTTGCCTAGCATGTGTGAGGCACTGGGTTTGATCCTTTGCACCACATAAAAATGAAACAAATAAAATAAAGGCATGCTGTCCATCTAGCAAAAAAAAAAAAAAAAAAAAAAAAAAACCTTTTTAAATCATGAAAGTTTGTTTCATCCCTGATTATAATATTTACATCCCATATTACATTGATTTAAGCTAAAAAGAAACTTTACCAATCAGTTAATTTTTAAATTACTTTTTATTGTGGAGACTTTTAAATATGCACAAAGATGGAGAGACCAGGCAATGAATCCCCATATTTATATCCCAGCTTTAGCAAGTATCAACTTGTGGCCAATTTTGTTTTGTTCATGCCCCCACTTCCTCACTTCTCCCTTGCATTACTTTGAAACAAATCCCATACATCATGCAATTTCATCTGTAAAATAAATTCAGAAAAAATTTATGGATAACTTTTATTAAACTATTTTTTTCATATATGTAACCAGAAGTTTTTAATATCTAAAAATGAACATATTGGCAAATTCCCTAAATAAATTTAAGCAAGGTAAGTCATAAGAATAACTATTTAGACGTCTGAATTTGCATCACCATCTTTGATACCCAAGCCACATCCATCCCTTCACCTCTCAACATACCCACTTCTTTGTGTTTCTTCTGTTCTAATCATGTGAGATCCCTCTTGCATTTTAATCTGACCTTGCCACTACATAAATGGCTTGGTGCCCAAAAACAAATGATATACTGTTTTCCTGCTTTGGTTTCATCTACTATCAAATGGGTTGATTATCTCCTCTGGGAAAAATAATATGAAGATAGCTACAGTAGTTGTCATACAATGTGCTGCTGCAAATAATTCACAGGAAAAAGATACTAAACATTTCATTTGAATGTTCTAATCTGAAAGAAGAAACTTAAGCTTTATTTATATTTATACACAGGTTGACACTGGAGCCTTCACATGTTCTGTATGACATGTAATTAGAAATGAATTTCTTTTCATTTATTGTCTTGAGATTTTTGTTCCTGAATTTTAGGATTCATCTCTCTCATTTGTTCTGGGAAACTTGGACCATGATTTCTTTGAATAATGAAAAATAATGTCTATATCATTCCCTTAAACTCTCATTTTGGAACTCTAACACAGACTAGTGCTGCTAACTCTGCCATGTATGTGTCTGAACTAGTCCTTAATATTTTCCAATTCTTCATCTTTCTCTATTGCAAGAGTATCATATCTATATCAGGAGCATTTTCTCCTATATATTTAATAGTATATATTAAGTCTACTTTTGGTTGTATCTCCCCACTTCCTCTTTTTACCTCATTCACTGAGATTTTTTCAAAATAGATTATCATATTTTTATTTCTAGGTTCTATTTGTTTCTTTTCTAGATCTACTCAGGTCTTTTTTAAAGTAGTCTTTATACTTTCAACATTCTCTTTATTCCTTTAATCATATTATGCTATTGTGTTTCGTAGAAAACATTCTAATTTTATAGTCTGTACACGATACTTCTACTACTTGAAGTCTTTATAGTGTCTATTTGTTTCATTCTTTATGTTTCCTCTCACTAGTGAGACCTTGCTTTTTCATGCGTTGTTAGCTTTTTAGCTCATATTTGATCAAACTTGATCTCTGGGAATTTTTTCAGGCCCATACCAATGAATACTCCTCCAGATATGGTTCATCTGTGTTTCTGCCTTATTCCTTGGGATACTAGCAACATGACACCATTTTAAAATATATAGAGTTTTCCTAAACGGGGCCAATTTTAAAGGAGCGTGTTTTCTCACTATGTCTCTTTTTGCAAGACAGATTTTAATTTTTATTCTCTCCTCATTTAGGGTGTAGCCCTCTGGTGTCCTGATTTTACAAAGACAGGGTCTTTAATTCTTTAGTCCACCATGCATGGACCGAGATCACTCCTCTTCCACAACTGAGTGTTACAACTGAAACACCAGGTCAATAGAACTAGGTAGAGTCCCCTGAGCAAAATGCACCTCAGTGTCCCCTACCTCTTAGTATCCCTGATGTGCCCTCATTTGGGGCCCCCATGGATATATCCCTTTTCTTGCCATGTCAACGACAGATTTTTAAGCTATATGATTAGTTCATAACCCAAAACCTTAAAGATTATTAAGTTAGTATATCCAACACCTGACCCTAGTTCCTGGTTAAAAAAAGAGAGGGGGAAATCACTCGAAAAGTGGTTTCCATTGGCTCAAGAAGGAGCTCAGTGATAGAGCATTTGCCTAGCATGTGTGAGGCCCTGGATTCAATCCTTAAAAGGAAACAAACAAACAAAAAAGTAGTTTCCTTTCAAGTTTTCATCTAATTCTGCCTCTGAAGTAAATATGAAACTCATCAAATTCCTCCTGAAATAGAGGCCTGGTGATTCTCAATGAAAAGTACAAGGTATTGGTGGGGAGTCCAGCAGATCTAGGAGGGTTCTTCTGATAGCACTTTGCCTCACATTTAAAACTATTGCTAAAGAGCACTATCAGCTGGCAGTGATCTGCATGGTAAGAGCTGTGATGGGGAACCAGTGCTAGCACAGGCCATTCAGAGGGGAGCCCAGAGCAAATCCTTGTTTCAAAGTGAATGTGAGAATTTAGTTTTTTCAAGGTTTGGAAAAAAACACTGTAACCAGATAAAAAGAATCACATGATTTGATTTATACAAAGTATTGCATTTTGGAAGGAAACTCACATTTTCTTCCACCCTTCTCCCCTCCAAGGCACATAGACTCTTCTCACCTGATGCTATTTGTGCAGAAAGTATTCTTAAGGGGGTCATTGATGTAAATGGTTCGGACTTTTAACACTTCTGAGCTTTGCAGAGATTGTTGGCAGCCCATCCTTTTCTCCACCTTCTGATTACCCAAGGAAAAATGAGTAGATCCTGCAGCAAGAAGAAACAAGGACATAATGCAGAAATGTCAAGGCAGATACACTCATGCCTTCAGTTCTGTAATCTTTAAGCACAGGATCTATGAAAAAGTAATACAGCTCTTTGCCCAAAATATGAGAGACAAAGGACAAAGGAAATTGCTTTCACACTTCAAAACAAATTACAAAGCAGCTAAAAAAATAATAAGGAAAGACATTTCCTTTAAAAGAAATTAAATATAGGAAGTGTTGGCATTATTAAATGAGAGCTCAAAAGACTCATTTTTAAGTTGATAATAAAACTGGAGAAAGGCTTTTTAAATGATCTGAAAGAGCTATGAAAAGAAATGAACAATACAAATACTTCAAGAAAAGGAAAACCACATAAGATGCAACTCAAATAGTAGACAGATAAAAAGAGGAATGTGTTGCATAGACTATAGAAAACTAAGTAAGATGATATGAAAAGAGCAAAGAAGATTGGAGAACAATTACAGGTGTAGGACAAAGGATATCCAATCGGTGCATGTTTGTTGTCCTTGAAGAAGAAACAAACAAAAAAATTCAAAGACATGGTAGAATAAATTTTTCATTAAAAGAAGACATTTTTATGAGAACAATGTAACTCAGGAAAATGGGATTCAAAACAATCAATGCTAAGGCCCCTGTTAGTAAAGTTATTAACTTTTAATAATGAAAAAAAATTCTTAATCAGGAAACCATTGAAGTTCTTACAGAAATTGGAGGGAGAGTGAATATAAAAGCCACACTGAGACTGTACCACAAACTTTCAAGCTACAGGTAAGAAATCAAATATCTTACCAAGAGATGAATGAAACGAGTCTGGTAGAAAACAAAACTTTAGATCATGAGTGAGCATTAGGACCAATCTTTCTATTGAAATGACTTTAAATGCTATGTTTTAAACATTTTTAAAATCCTTGAATAGTCAAGATAGTATCTACCATCAAGCCAAGATTTATTCAGAAGCAAAAATCTAGAGAAGCAGGATCATCCTAAGTGGCTGTCACACACCATATTTGAGTACCTGGATGGACTCACATCTGCAAGCTTGGGCAGGCTAGACCATCTGTCCATTGGCTCAGTTAAGGCACTCAGCAGTTCCCTGGACCTGCCACTGCTATCCTGAGTTCCATATCTGTTTAAATAGACAGTTTGTGAAGGATGGGCTCAGCTGCTGCCTCCACAGAACAGAAGAGCTTGGTCCCCCACCACCAGCCCTGTACAGCTCAGCTTCTTATATATGAAGCAGATCAGGAACAGCAAGGCACAAGCATATGCAAACATCAGTCCATAGGACAGATTGCTCCTCTCAGAGAGAGAGAGATGACTCCTACCAGCAGAGGGCTCTGGGCAGCTCCTACAGACCCAGAGACTGCATGAGAGTTCCCTTTCAGACGCTTAGGAGTCCCCAGGTCAGCAGAGAGGATGGTGGTGATTAGTACCTTCAGCCCCCCCCCTGCCCAGGCCCCTGCTAAACACCATGGCTACAGTGTCTTCTAGGCCCCTCTTGCTGATGATAGAGTGGAGATCCTGGCCACATTGAACAAAATGGAGAGCTCTCCTGCTTTTTTGACATTAAGGTGATCTGCGCTGGTGATGTACGATGGAAGGCAAAAGAGGAAAGTGAAGCTGACCTGCTCGGCCAACAGCACAGAGAGAACTCCCAAACCAGGGATTCTCAAAGGCCCAAGTGAAGCTGATGAGGGCCAGGAAGTTGCTGCTGTCACCAGGGAAAACCACCACATAACCTGGGCATATGGGACTCTTCCCCTAGGACAGTAGTAAGCACTGCATCTCTGGGTCCGGGAGCCTGTTCCTTTCACTGTGTAAGGTTGGCTTCTAGAGTCCACCTCTGTTTGTTAGATTCTCATAGCCTTTTGAAAGTGTGGACAGGGAGGAGGAGCATCTGATGTCTTTCAGATGTTGGATGAGAAGTAGAAAGCACACTATTCCCATGGCTGCCATGATGGCCCCAGGCACAATGAAAGACAGGTCCCAGCACAGGAACACCCAGTGGCCAGCAATCAGGGAGTCCAGAATATTGCCCGCCTAGGTGTGGGCATTCCATGAGCTCACCTTCCTTTTCCAGGCCTGCTGCGGAGGCAAGTGAGGAGCCTGGTGGTCTGCACCAGTGGATGAATGATCTGAGTTTACCACATAAAATCCACAACTATGGATATGGTAGAAATACCCCAATACAAACAGGGTGGTTAAGGGCCTGGCCAGCATCTCAAACATCAGATAATACCTAATCAACAGGCAGTTCCCCGATTATGCTGCTCAGGTACATCCCAACAGCATCAGCACACAAGGGGGATTAATCCAAGGCGCCAGGCAACTGCTGATAGTTCTTCTCCAATGGGGGCCGGCCATGGCAAAGGGAACTGCATGATGCTCTTGGTTGGGCCACTGAATCTGCCTCTTCCCTAGCAGCACCCTTAACTATGCTGACTCACTTTCAAGATGAGTGAAAACTTTCATACACTGGGGGTAAAAACAGTCAAAATGACAATGAAGATTCTGTAGCCCAGATCCCTAGAGGAGACAATGAAGCGGATGCCAGGGAGGAGTTGAGCCATTTACATGGAACTTCAGTCATAAAATAAGATGCTTCATCTTATTATGGATGATTGTTATTTTTTTCCTTCTGAAGGTTTATTTTGGATAAAATAGTTGAAGACAGATTACAATGATATATTGTACAAAAAGACTAGAAAATAATTTAAGAGAGAATTTTAAACATAGGGTTCTAACACACTTATAAGTGGATATGCCTCCTATCCTGCAGGGGAGGGCTGGTAGCCTCTGTCTACGCCCAACAAGTAGAGTGCTTCTTCACAAAAAGGGCTCTTGAGGTGTGATGATCCAAATCTCCCTCTTGCAAAAGTGTTTTCTCCATCAAAACAACCAAGTAACACCAATACTTCTACTTCTGCAAATCTTCCCTAGCAGTTTGTTGAAAGTCTATTATCTATTAAGTCAGCTACAAGGGATGGCTTTGTCAAGTTTTTACTTTATTAGGCCGTACTTTGTTTCTTTGTGATTTTGTTGTTGAAAACTTGACATCTGAAGCTTACATGGTGACTCTGAAGCAAACACTCGGTTAAATGCAGAAATACCATCTACTCAAAATTATAGTATCATGAAGTGATCAAAATTTCCCACACCTATATATGGTTATCCAGTTTTCAGGAAAGAAAGAAAGAACTTTAGTTACTTCCACTGTCTTTTCAGTTACTAGATCATGATTCCAATTTCATGAAACCAAACCAAGAATCAAACAGTAACACTCTAGGCAACCATGTCAACTGAAAAGGATGTTATCTCCTGTCCTTTTTACCAGCTTTCCTCTTTCCAGAGAGTAAGTGCTTGGGCTTCATATCAAACACATGTCTGTCTGCCTCCCCTTTCTTCCCCAAGTGATTCATCTTCTTCTGAGCATTCTTCATCATAGTCTTGGTTTTCTCTACCATCTTGACATCCCGAAGACCAGAAACATCACGTGGAGGTCGAGGGCAGCTCCCACTCTGGGCTACAGAAGAGGGAGGAACAGATTCTTCCCGCTTTCTCTTCCTAGTGACACTCCGAGATTTTCTTGCCTGGACTGCATAGTGGGCACGGTCTTTATCATCCAGGTCAACACCAAGACTACGCATCTCATTTTCCAAAACTGTCAGCTGAAGCTTCTTAGCAGTTCCAGGCATCCTGGGTCCCTGTGTATCCTTTTCCTTTGATTGTAGGATTTTCAGCTTCTTTTTTTTTTTTTTCTCTAATTTGTTTTGCTAGCTGTCTGATTTCCATCATTTCCTCAACTTCACTTTCAGATTCACTATCATACTCCCCCGCAGCTGTTCTTAGCTCTTCTTCTTTTCCTAACTCTTCCCATTTCTTCATGATGGCAGGGTCAATATAATCAGCTACATTATGGCCTTCCCAGATCTCTGGTATCTTATCATATTTTTCAGACGAATTCATTAAATCCCAGTATTTTTGAAGATCCAAAATATAATCATCTCCCATTTCCCGCTCAAGATCCCGTTCCCTTTTCTTCTTGGGCTCCCCAATTTCCATTCTCCTCTTGTGTGCCACTACTCCTTCTGGGATGGAAGGGGGCCTCTCCTTATCATCTCTCTTGTTAGGCACAGCTAAATGCAACCTGTTCAGCACATCATTCACTTTGTTTCCTTTCATTTTTGTTTCCACTCGGTGTGCCAAAAGCCTGTCACAAGCCTCTGTTTTAACTTTAATAACACCTTCCTCAGTCAGGGTACTGGTCTCTATTACAGGGAATCCTTCAGCTTGCAAGTCTACAAATATTTTCTGATCATCTTCAGAAAGTTCAGCTATTCGTTTCACATCACATTTGTTGGCTGCAATTATGAGAGGCTTATTGATAAAGAGAGGTCTGATATTCTGGGAAAGTTCTAATTGCTCTTTCAGCCCGTGTCCACACTGTTCAGTCAAGTCCATCACATACAGAACCGCGGTTCGAAGGTGCGCCCGGGCCGTGAGAGCCTGCATTTCGATGGTGTTCCGATCCTCCAAAGGATGATCCAAAATCCCTGGGGTATCTACAACCTGCCAACGCAGATACTTATAATCCATGTGCCCAACAAACAGAGACTTGGTGGTAAATGCATCGGGCTGAACATCCACATCTGCTCTCGTCACCTTATTAATGAAGCTGGATTTCCCCACATTTGGGTACCCACATAAAAGCAGAGTGCTTGCATTTGGGTCAGGGGTTGGCAAGCGGGATAAATGCTGACGCCCTTGTTCCAGATATTCCAAACTGTGCCTCTGCCACTGGATAACGGTGCACATTCGCCCGAGGGCAGCACGCTTCAGCTGCTGACAGCGGTAGAGAGAATCGCCGGACTTCATAAGCCGGACATGATCTTCAGCAACATTGCCCACTGAACTTTTAGCAATATTAATCTGTCCTAGAGCCAACTGGTAATGATCCTTGTCATACAGAATATGCATCAA